TACTTATAAAACTGATACTGATTTCTTTTGTGTCAGTCAAGTGAAATAAAATTTCCTTCATTTTCAAAAGAGAATCTTATTATTTGTCTTGGATAATATAAGACAAGTCTATAAACAGAATTTTCATTTCATTTAAGTGCCATCTCTTCTAGCCTCAGACTTTGCATCCTGAGTTAGTAGTTAGATTTTACGAGAACAACAAAACATCACCACACCAAGTTGTTTCCTTATGAAAGTCAATTAGTTCTTCTATTATGGAGAACTTGGCAGCTGGAGAAGGCCTTCTACCCCTTTCCCTGATTTTGTTTTGGGAATAGGAGTGACAGCCCACGTGAAGTGGGCTGTGTCTGAGGCAAGTGGTCCTTTTAGTGATGTAAGCTCAGGCCTTTCTGAGAGCCTGAATTTGCTCTTAAGCCTAATTGAAGCTAGATGACACAGTGGGGAAAAGAACAATGCCTGGTCCTCAAAGCAGGTGAGGATCCCCTAGGACCAGAATAACAGCCCCCAACCCTCAGTGATATGGCAGCACTAGTCTAGTCCTGAAAGAGCCACGGGCTGATTCTCCCACTGACAGAGCTCAAAGGAAGCCAGCTGTAGACTGGATGCCTGCAGAACTCACATACTGGCTAAACAGGAGCTGCAATCCACACTTGCATCTGTTAGTGTGTGAGGGCTACTGCATTCTTTTCTTAGTTGGAATTCTGCAGAACCTTAAAGCCATGATATGACACGATATGAGCAATCTGCAAAGAGTCAAGTGAAATGAAATGGTCCCACATCAGACATAAGATCACACAAAGTGAGAGTTACAAGTGATTCAGAAATTAATCATTCTCCCTTTCAATAATAAAATACTCTTAGCTCAGAGAGGTTTAGTCATTGGCCTAAGGACACACAACGAGAAACAAGCAGTCCTAAGGATGTTCATTTAGGGATCTTGACTGCTTAGCATAGGATTCTCTTTATTATACCAACTACCTTCTTGGTTTTCTCACTCAGCTGAAGCTATAATATTGATTAAATCATGACATTTTAGAACTGTTGTTTAATGATTTTGAGGGAAGCGAATAAGTTGATATCAAATTATTATTTTAAAATTATTGCTAAGGTGCTAAAAGTGACATACTTCTATCTTGATCCAAAACTATTTATTTTTTATTTTTTATGTGTTTGGTACAGGATCTCACTATGCAGCTCAGACTTGTAGTGATCTTCCTGTTTCAGCCTCCCCAGCACTGGAATTACAGGCGTGTGCCACCAAGACCGGACTCAGTGGCCAGCTTGGTGCACCCAGGGGGTGGGGCCGGCATGGCATGTGGTATTGGGATCGAACCCCACGTCCTGTGCTTGCCTAGGCAGGCACTTAGAGTGCTGAGTTATCTCCACAGCCCTCAAAACTATTTTTAAAATGAGCTAGTAGTATTTCTTGGAAGTTCAATGCTTTGTGTAATCTTACATTATGATATTATTTGATCCTAATAATTAATAATAATCCAAAGATTCTCAGACTATCCAAAGAAATGTAAGCAAAGTTAAAGCACAGAAAATGGAAATCTCATCTTAGGCAGAGGACTCTGTGCACAGAAAAACAACTGTCCTCTGCGGTGGTGTAGTGGTATGGTAAAGACGATCTCTGATGAACGGAATCATCACGCTGGTGGTCACACTGCTCAGCATTTTAAATGCTGCTGGGCATTCACAGCAAGAATATGGCTTAGGACATCATATGGTTTAGAAGTTTTAAAGTTTCCAGTTTGGGTTATTTTTAGAGAATTGCTAATTTTGATTTGCTTGTCACTCTTTTAGATTGTGCTGAATCACAAATGCCCAGGTGGGTTGTCAACCATGGAAATGTTTAAAGGAATGTCACAGTGGTGATGTTCCCATCAGTGAGGAAAAGAGGGTCATGGGAGGGAGAAACAGATTCCACTGGAGTCGCCAGAGCTGAGCCGCTGGGAGCCTGGAAGGGAGTGTGTGAGCACCATGCTGCTTCCCCGCGCGCGGAATGGGGTCTCTATCCAGCATGAATTTGCAGCTGCTACAAATAAAGGACAGATCCAACAAAGCTAGAAGGATGGTTTAAAACTTCAGGACTGGGATAAAAAGGAAATACACACCCACTTGGTTGAATCTGAACCCAGACCAGGCCCAGCTGCCCCATTCAGTCTTACAGTCTGTCTGAGATAGGCTACTACATCCTACAGGTCACTGGACTGGACTAGAACTCTCCACAAAATATACAGCAGTGGTGATGCTTAGAGCCAGAAGTACATGTTACAGACTCCTTTATCCTAAGCTATTAGGTTAGACATTCAATATTTTCTGTTGTTCCAAATTTATATATTTATTTATTTGGTACAGGGTCTTGCTATGCAGCCCAGACTCACAGTGATCCTCCTGTCTCAGCCTCTCCAGTGCTGGCATTACAAACATGCATCACCACGCCTGGTCAGTGGCCAGCACTGCGAGCCTGGGGACCCAGGGCCTGCACGACATGTGGTACCTACCGGGCATCAAACCCAGGTCCTTGTGCTTGCCAAGCAGGTGCTGAGAGCACCAAGCTATCTCCTTATCCCCTGACTGTTTAAATTTGGAACACTGAAATAAATGAGCTATATTTTTCAGTAGATGCCATGAAGCGGTTTTCATTTAACTATTACTAAACATTGCTCTACCAAGCAAGAAAAAGTAGTTGAGCCAAATATAAGCAAGACACTGCCTCCAGTAAGTGGAACTTAGAAGTAAACAAACCAATTAAAAATGATTCGTTACTTCTAAGATAGCATCCCCTGTGGGAGTAGATCTGTATGAAGCAGACCAGCTCTTCTGAGAACAAAAAGCAGAGAAAAGAACCATGAGCAATCCCAGCCTAGGGCTGGTGTACAACATCTGCCCTGATGTTGGGGGATGGCTCGAGCCAGTAAGCGTCTCCTGCCTTCTGCTGACCAGGCATCCAACAGAGCCAGCCCATAGTCCAGGGGAGCAGCTACTCCTAGGAGCACTGATCTTAGGAGACCAGGGGTAGATACTACCTTTTGCTTTATTCAGTGTTCCTCAAATGGGCCCTGTGTTAAGAGCCAGGATACTCTGGGTGCTTAAATCAGCTTGCCTCCTTAGATACAAGCTGTGGGAGGGGTGAGGACAGGGTCAGGAAGGGGTTAGGGATAGAAAGTATGACAGAAGCAGAGATGCCAGAATTTGAATTTTGGCAGGGGAATGCAACAGAGATGTAACCAGTAGTGCCCATATTATTACGGCTTAGACCCGGAATGGCCCCTGCCCCCCAACACCAAGAGTTTAGAGGTGGGGTTTTAAACAGTGAATGGGTCATGGGTAACTACTCATCAGTGGATTCACCCACTGGTGAGCTTGGCCACTGTATAGCCCATACAGTGGGAGATCGGAAGAGGCGGTCACTGAGGCCAGACGAAAAAGGTGTAGCTCCCACCCACAGTCTTCCCTTCTCATTATACTTTCACAGTCCTCCTTGTCCAACTTCAGTCATTTGGCAGAGATCACATTTCATTGCTATGGGCAAGGCCTTAAGAAGACCCTCTCCTAAGAGTGCACCCGGGACACCTAGGATGAAGGCATAAGTGTGCAAAGGGAAGGCAGGACTCCGTGTGTGTGACGCACACACACACATGCGCGCATGCACGTGGGTGGTTACCAGAGCTGAAAAAGCAGAAGAACAGCAAGAGAGAATGGTCTGAGATGCAAGCTTCACTCTATGCCAAGAATGTAAGAATGTGTATACCTAATCCTGTTAAATAACTGTGTCATAGAGCTGAAGGTTAGCCACAACCTCCTATGTTAGAAGGCAACTGCTCTCCCTCAAAGGTCCATGTGTTAAGGGAGTGGTCCCCAGGATGGCAGGCTGGGACGTGGTGGAGCATGTGGAAGGAGGGCCCAGAGAGAGATCTGTAGGCCCCTAGAGTGTGGAAACTCATCCCGTCCTGTCTCTCTTTGCTCCCTGGTTTGTGATGTCACTGGTTTTGGTCTTGCTGCGTGACATGCTGCCTTGCCACATGGCACAAAGCAAAGGAGCAAACTGTGGTCTGTAGTCATCAAAACAGTGAGTCAAAAGAAACCTGTTCTCTATATATGTTCATCATGTCATGGGTTTTATTATAGTGACAGCAAATATTTAGAGCACTGCCCTAAAGCAGGACATAAAATGATTAAATTCAATAACAGGGTATAATTTGGATGAATTTTGTAAAATTTCACTTCTGTTGGCATCTTTCCATTTTCTATGTTGCTAGATAAATTTTCTAGATATTTTGAGAAGAATTAGGTGTTTTCTTTTAGTTTAACTACTCAGTAGAGATCTGATAAGCCAAGCAATGTCAGTAAATTTCTCAAGCAGACACATTTACTGTTTAAAGCTGCAGGAGGGTTATTTAAGAAAATTAACTGAAAATTCAATGAACTGCACACTGCTTTCCTGTAAGGGCTTATTTAAAAGCCTGCTTCACATTTAGAGTGAGGTCTTTTATCACAGGATCTGAATTAACACAGCAAACAGTAAACTGCTCGAATCAGAGCTTGAAAGCTTCTCAAACTGCTTTTGGGAGTCTCTTTTAAACGAGACACTTTGGTAGCAAAATTAAAGAAACACAAACTATAGTACAGGGGACTATTTTTATTACTCTGAAATAAATTTATTGCCTTCATATGCTCATTATTAAATGGGAAAAATCAAGGAATCAAATATTTTCTTAAAAAAGAAAAAAACAAATCACTAAATTAATAAAAATATAAAAATGAAAATCAATAATACAGATATTGAAAAGTATAGGGTATGTAAATATATCCAATTGTTTTTTAAAGATTAAAAACTCCTTGTAAATCCAGTTAATGATAAAAGAGAGAGCAAGGAGAAAAATAATTCCCCTTAGAATAGCCCATATGTTAATCGCTCAGAGAATGCCAACTCCTACCACGAGCAGTGACAAGAAGACCCTTCCTACAGAGGCTCAGACGTCTTTTGCGCTTACCTCCGTTGTAAAGCCTATCACTTTGAAACACTGCTCAATTAGTTCATACTGGGATTTATAAAAACTGTTATTCATCATGTCCTGTACTGTTCGGAGGTGGTCATTTTGTAGATACCTGAAAAAGTACAAAAAGAACTGTAAAAGCTAAAACTAAGTGGTGATGGAAAGTATTACTTACGCTGGTACAACCTGGTCAATTACCTGGGAGGCTTATTTTCAGGCAACTTGTAAAGGGCTAGTTTCTTCTTTTCAGCTAAACCAGCATAAATATAGTAAAAAATGTGAAAGTTTTTTTCTCCACTGAAAAATAAGATGGTATGAGTGATTATTAGGAATATGTATTCATTGTCAAAATTGCTTGGCAATACAGTTATTAGGACAAAGTCAACTGCAAGGATCTATGTGGTCTCCCTAGCACTGCATTTTGGTGTTCTGTGGTTGCTGCTGTCGTCATGTTAAAGAATCACTGTCATTAAATTATTGATACCATGATAAACACTTGATGTGAAATCATTCAGCACATGTTTATGCCCTTCAGACACTGTCCTAGGCACTGGGAATATATCAAGAGCAAAACTTTAAAACAAACAAACAAACAAACAAACAAAAAAACCCCCCTAACTTCTTGGAGTAGACAGGCAGAAAAAGAAACACACAACATAAGCAGATAACATGCAAGTGGTCACAAGAGCTTCAACATCTCATTGACTTGCCAGAACTCCCTGGGGAAGGCATGGCTTTTCCCACTTCACAAGAAGCTGACACTTGGAGCTATCAATCTCCTTCCAAGTCATAGATGTGCCTGGATTCAAACCAAGTCTATTTGAGGCCAAAACCCATGCTTTTCACTTTCTTTTGACACTGTCAAAAACTGAATATATTTAATTGTCCCCAGTATCACTGATAGAGGCTGTGAAGTGAGAGGAAGGAACAAGAAGGATGGCAAGCTACCCTGAGATTTTCATGTTGGAGGTGATGAAGGAAAGGAACCCTGAGCACAAATGAGCCATGGCCAAGGGGTAGAGAGGCCAGCACCTGCAGCAACAACATAGAATCTAATGACTCAGCCCCTGTGGTCATATCTAGAATTCAGGATGAGTGCAAACTTCCCACTAATTGAAAGAAGAGTAATAATAGAAAGAAATGAGAGCAAAGCTGAAATGAAGAAAGCAAAACTGAAAAAATTTTGTTTTCTCACCTCTGGGAAAAATTATGATTGATTGATTGAGAATCCCTTTTCATAGTTCTCAAATTCCATAACCCTGGGGCTCTAAGTATAATGAGCAGTTTCCCAACACTGGAATGACATAACTAAGGGAGCAGAGATCATAGTGAGGTGAATCTCTGTCTCCTATATTGAACTCCTTCAGTGTCTGCCTTCCCTCTTAGGTGGTTTCTGTCCAATGGGTTCCCAGGACAGAGCACACACACACGTTCTCCTGAAATAGAGAAGGGTCCTCCTGCTTCACAGCTCCTCAGTCATCCCCACCCCTGCTGCTCTGCCTCATTTTCACACCCAATAACCGCTGGGAGGCCATGAGATCTGCATCTCTCTGGTGGCATTCTCTTCCTCAGCTTTCCATGGCGTCCCCTCTTGTTTTAGGGTGGCTTAAATCCTCATGTGTGTATTCATGCCATTATGGCCAGGCTTAGGCTGGGCCTGGAAGTGGGGTATAGCATTTTGAGGTTAAACTAATCATAATGCCTTGAACCCTATGACTTTGCTCTCTTCATTTCTTTCTATTATTACTCTTCTTTCAATTAGTAGGAAGTTTGCACTCATCCTGAATTCTGGATATGACCACAGGGGCTGAGTCATTAGATTCTATGTTGTTGCTGCAGGTGCTGGCCTCTCTGCCCCTTGGCCATGGCTCAGTTGTGCTCAGGGTTCCTTTCCTTCATCACCTCCAACATGGAAATCTCAGGGTAGCTTGCCATCCTTCTTGTTCCTTCCTCTCACTTCACAGCCTCTGTCAGTGATCCTGGGGACAATTAAATATTTTCAGAAAAGAATTCATGTCATTTTTAATGTTTTTTATTCCAAGGGTGACTTCTGAAGATTTTCCACATAAAGTTACAAAACAAAAAAGCATGCTTTATGCTATGCGTAATTTTATGCTATTTTTCTTAAAAGAAGATAAAGGACTTTAAAGCTTTCCTAGATCTTCTCCTCCTGCATATTATGCAGAATAATGTTAATGGAGATGAAAATTTTACCTTTGCTTTCTTTAGAAACTATTTATTTTTACAATATAGAATTTTTTCCAGAATCAGTGGTTATTTAAACATCCATTTATATTTACTTTCCTAATGAGGTACCAAAAGTTATTTGGAGTTTTGGAACACATGTTGGCTTACTATTTTGTAATCTTTCGTTGTGGTGCAATATTCTGTCAAAAACTGTTACAAGAAGACCTTTCACGTAGGCTCATTCAAAATTCTAACACATTATTAATGTAAGTTTAAAATAATGTGATTAAAGTTTAATGTTTGTGCTGTACCAATTATTTTAGACACCCCAATTGGTATTTCCTGAAAGTTAACAAATAAAAACACTTAATGTGAAAGAGCAAAACTTGATAAATTGAATATTTCTGATCTCTGTTGTTTCGTGTTAGTATCTGAAAGTAAAAAGGAATGGTGCTATTGATTAGTACACACTCTGGGGCAGACTTTCTCCTGGGAGAACACAGTATCACTAAGCCTGGGAAAGTGCTCATATGTCCATGAAATCCAAGACTTTCAAATGTCAGATCAGAGGGGCCGGGGAGATGGCTCAGTGGAATAAGTGCTTCCCTGGCAAGCAGAAGGGCCTGAGTCCAATCCCCGGTCCCACCAAAAACAAAACAAAACAAAACAACAACAAAAAAAATTCAGATCAGGAGGAACAAAACAATGATCACAGAGTTGAAATCAACATAATTTCACAAGTATTTAGACCTGGGTAATGAAGAGAACCAGATTTTCCATAGCCAGAGGAGTACGGTTCCAACAGAGAGGAACTATGAAAAGATAGAGGCTTGGGGATGAATTCAGTTGAATCTGAGAGCAGCAGGATGCTTCCGTAGTTCAAAAATGTGAACTTAAGAGACAGAAAGAAATGCATCTCTGGGTGTTAATCACACAGAAGTATCTGTTGAGGTCATGATGGAGGAAGAAATTGCAAAGTGAGAAAGTAGAGAAAGAAAACAGAAATGTCTAGAACAAACCTTGGGAAGTGCACATGTTAGGAATGAACAGATATGCCTAAATCAGAAGAAAAATTTGGAGCAACAGGAGAATTAGAAGTTGCTCATGAAGCAAGTAAATCATGGCTTCAAAAGAGGTAGTCCATGGGCAAGATGCTGACAGCAGGCACATCCTTCCTTAGAATAAGTCAGATGTGCATCCGCAAGTCCCCAAGCAGTCACCAGTGAGACTTCAACAAACACTAGCACTGTTCATGAGCAAGGCTAAACAAAACTAAAAGTTTAGTTTAGTTCTTTTCTCATCACAAAAGAATGAAGTTTCTCTAAAACTATCACAGCATATAATTTAGTTTGCTTTGTTCCAATCACACTGATTGCTCCATGAATCATATCTTTAATTCCTAAATGATGCAATGTGCAATTACAAAAATGACTCATGAATGTAAACACACGAAATCAGTGGATTTTGCTTTATTAGCTTACATTTACCGAGAATTAGAATTTGACAAGATCTGGCAATACTATTAGAAAAAAACTGACCTTCATTGCAGAACCATCAGAAGGCTGAAGCAGTGGGAAGAAGCCACCTCCGAGACAACTCATCTCATGTCCTGCCCAAACCACCTCAAAGCTGCTCTTAAGATCAAGCCGCACAGCGTCTCACACACAGTGTGACTGGTGGTTACTGTGTCAGGGGTGCCTGGGGACAAACTCAGGGTCTTAGCACTTTGCCCAACAGTGCTTCTTGGACTCTGGATCCACTTCTACTCTGAATCCTTTAATACTTCTTTGGAGGCTTGTGGGAGTAGCCTCTGGGTAGGTGCACAGTGCTCGTCTGTGTAGGACCCTTGGGATGACCTATCCACTATGGCCTCTAAATCCTGTGACAAAGTCCTCAGAAGGGTGTGGCTTTATGAATTTGTGTTGAATCCTTGACAGAGTGGTGCAAGAAGGCATGGAAAGTTAATGAAGCTGTGCCTTCTTGAGGTCCCGTATGGTTTTCAGAAAACAATGCTTTTATTTCCTTTTCAACTGTTTCTCCTTCCTCCTAGATAGCCAGTCTCCTCAGCATCCCTCCTTGTCGCTGCCTGATCATTCCCTCGTGGCAGCTAAACTCATTCCCTGCTGTCCTGAGTGACTGGAGCACAAGGAATGACCAGGAAGCTTTGTACCAAGACATATACTGCCCTTAGGGAACCACAAGGATCCACATGCATCCATTCGATCAACATTTGCCAAAGGGATGAAAGAAAGAATGAATGAATGAAAGCTGGGCTTTGGATTAGGAGAGGTGAGAGTCCAAGCTCCTACTCAGTGACTTTCTAGCTCTTTGACATTAGCCAACTTACTAAAATTCTTTCAGTCTCAGTTTCACCATGGATAAAAGACAATAACCCTGTCATCTGACCGTAAGAATTGTAAGACCTAAAGGCTGTCAGGTGCTTAGCACAGTGCCTGCCATGGAGCAAATGCTCCATAAATATATTTTTCCCTTCCTCCACTGCAGGCAGCGCCATGCTGCTGCTGTGTTTACAACTACTCGGGAGCCCAGTAAAGGGCTGGCAGGCAGAGGAAAGCAATCGATGTTTGCTGAACTACACTGTTGTAACAGGAAGGACTGGAGTGGAAACAGCTGTAACTTCTATTTATGAGAATTACCCAGCAAGGCCTTCAATATGGGCATTTTCTCCTTCAATTTAGGTAGCTTCAAAGTTCTTCTTTAAAAATCATCTAGATTTAGAAAAGGACTCAAGTCACAAGTTTCCAGGAGTGTCACGAGATAGTTAAACAATAAACATGATCAAAGACTGGGGTGTGATGACATAGCAGAAGACAAAGAAAACCAATTCTCCTAATAGAAAGTGTAAGTTCATTTTTAAAAAATGTGCTGCACTGGTTCTTCCCTGCCCCTTGCACCTAGTCTCCACTTTTCTCTGCTGTGCTCTGGGACCCCCGAAGGCTGGCCTCTGAGACCAGCAGCTCCCTTGTTTGATTTCCACTGCAGCCAACAGGAAGCACAGAGAGGAGACTCATGAGGGAGGGGAGAGCTCAGGAGTGTCCATCCCTGCACTGTCCCGGGGCCACAGGCTGTGTCCTCTGGGGCTACAGACCTTGGGCAGCAGTGCCGTGCAGCTGCAGGCCCAGTGGTGCGCTTTCTCTCCACACTGTCTCCCACCCTGTTGGCCCATGGGAATCTCACCATTTGTTCTTGACACTTCGAAGCCCATTCTATATTTGTAAATAGGCTTTTCACTTCAAGCCTTTGAACTAGATATTTCTTTGTAGTAACTCTGATCGATTCAGTCCATTTAAATTCATAATGAAAATACCTATTAATGCTTTTGCTACATATTTGCTATTTTCCCTTTCAAATGTCACAAAAAGTTCCTCTGGCCTATAAAATATAATTTAATTTTTTTTGTAATTTACATTAAATGAAAGAAAAATAGAAAAATACAAATCCTGTTTTATTGTCAATTAGTAGGAAGCTATATTCAAATAATATTTGAGTTGTGTTTTCACTTGCTTGTGAATTTGGGAGTTGGAAAGTGTTTCTCCAGTAAACAGGGGAGGAAAGCTGAAAGAATGCATTGGGAAAGCTTATTAATGAACAGCATGCCTTAAATATGCTCCTAATGCTGCTATTTCTTGGGCCGCGTCCTGCAGTTTTTCAGTAATCATTAAGAGCTCATTTCTATATCTTCACTGTGCAGCCCTGGAGAGCACACGGTACCTCACTCCATACCATGTGCTGCCAATGGCGCCCCGCGTGCTGTGGAGCACTGCGGCTCCTCCTGAACATTAATGGGTCACTTGTAGGTGTTTCTTTCCTAACGTCCCAAAGGAGGGGCTCACACAGTTAGGAGCAGGGCAGAGGAGAGAGTTTTGCGAGCCAGCTTACGTGTCCACGTCCACACCAGACCCCAAGATCCCTCTAGGCATGGGTGGCAAAGGCACCGCACATTCACTCTGCTCTGGGCAATGAGCACACATCAATAACTGTGGCTGTCATTCATTAAATATCTTCAGTGTCTGGGCCTGTGTCATGCTAGATGCTGCTTCTAATCTTCACTATTATCAAAGCTGCTACTACTAATGGCTTAAACTTAATGGGGTTTGTTGTTAAATACCATACTACAGGTATCACCATATTGGTGGGTAAGTGCTAAGGCTTTTTCCACTTCAAGATAAAAATTGAGGGGGCTGGTGAGATGGCTCAGTGGTCTAAGGTACCTACTTAGAACAAGTTAGCAAAGCACAGGGACCACGGTTCAATCCCCCAGCACCACATGCCAGCCAGCCCCGCCCCCTGGTGGGCTGAGCTGGCCACACACACACAC